AATGCATAACTTGTCACCTGGGGCGCCCAGATACTGCAGTAATGAGCATCCGCCGTGACTCAAAAGTGTTATCTGGTCTTATTCCTGAAGCTTATTGTTAACATGCATTAAATAGGCCAGGGGCTGGGAAATGGGTTTAAATTATGCTGGCTTCATTTTATTCTTTCCACAGCCAACTACTCCATTAAAGGAGAAAATCTCATTCCCTGTGTCAGAGCTGGACCAATGTCCATCACTGCCCGGAGCTCCCATTGACTTCAGTGAAAGTTGTGGATGTTCATTGCCTCTGAAAATCAGGCCATAAGCCGTTTGAACCTGAAGCTTACGGCTCCAAGCCCTCCCTTGTGGTCTTAAACAGTGCAGCCATCTCCAATGTCCAGGACCTCACAGCTCTTTGCTTTGTTCTGGCTGAAGATAAGAGAGACTTTCTATCACTCTAACAGAAAATGCTCCTAGATGGAAATAAGAAAGCACTAAAAATCACTCCTTCCCACTACCTGGCTATCATAGCTGTGTCAACTAGTAGGGACTTGCTCACAGGAGGGGAAACAAGGTCATGGCACGTCATGGGATGGCTGCCGTTAAATTAGCCCCATGCAGCACCAGCCAATGGAACAGTGAAGTAGCTCACGTGGGAAGCCTGCTCACTCCTTTTGTGGCTTGAATGTTCACAGGGTCTGACCTCTTTGTAGTGTTACTCAGTATCTGTGTGACAGGACGAGCTAGTGGCCCCAATCAGGATCTGTGTTCCTGAGTGTTAGGTGCGGTACAGACACATTCTAAGTCCCTGCTCCAAAGAGCTTAAAATCTGAATAGATAGAGACAAAGGAGGCATTATTATCCCCATTTTACAGGTACGGTACTGAGGCACAGGAAGATTGTCCCAGCACACAAAGGGTAGAGGCAGGAACTGACTTCAGCTGTCCGGAGTCCCAAGCTGGTGCCTTACCCACAGGACCATTTTTCCTCTTTTCTGCTTTACTGCAGTCATTAAATGTTTTTTTCTGAACTGTCCCACTCCTCCCAGAATATCTGATAGGAATGTGTTGGGAGCATGGGGCAAGAAGGGATTAACTGACTCACCACCTGGTGGACTCAGGTTCCGGCTCTGCTGCAGCTTTCCTATATGGCCGGGGGCAAGGCATTTAGGCCCAGCTCCTCAAAGGTATTTGGGCCCCTAATTTTCATTGACTTGAATGGAGGTAGGCGTCTAAATACATTTGAGAATCTGGGCCTTCGGCTCTCTGTGTCTCAGTTCCCCATCTGTACAATGGGGATAATAGCACTGCCCTGCCTCCCAGGGGTATGGTCCATTCGAGATTGTGAGGTGCTCAGATAGCACCATGATGAGGATAAGTACATTAGCGTGATAGCGTAGGCCCAGCGGCTGGTTGTGCCTCTCTTTAATCTCCTCTCTTTCAGAACCGGTTGGCCTTGAATCTATCATTTTACTTTCCAAGCTCATCAGACTCCTTTTTTATCTCAGCACGGCTGGTTTTCTTCTCTCTCTCCCACTCGAGGGCCAGGGTTGTGTCTCTCCCTGCCCGACCTCCATCTGAAGAACTCCGCGTCCCACCGCCCGTTCGCACGCTACAGCGTGGCCTTTGTTGTACTTTTCTGATAAAGCAAGCAGGAGGAAAATAATCCCCCTTGCTGACTGATCCACACCTCCGCTGTCTGTCGCTTCAAGGATTTGGGGATGAGGAGTGCTTTCTTCACAACAATCTTCTTTGAAGGTCTCTCCACTCCCTTGTTATTGCATCTTTTTAAAGGAGATAAAAATTATGTGTAGAGGAGGGGAACAAACAACAGCGTAAAATGCAAAGCGCACAGTTAAAATTCACCAGAGTCTGATCCCCGCTTTCTTTGAAGCCAACGGGAGTTTTGCAAGTGTCTGTAATAGGAACAGAACCAGGCCCGGATCAGGAAATGTTAAGTTGCAGGGGTCCAGCAGTCACTTACCCCATGGCATATTATGATGTACATTTGCAACATAAACAACAGCTGTGTGCAAGATAATGCAGCAAACCCGTTGTTCCTGTGGCTGACAACAAGCTCCTGAATATCTCAAAGAAGTGGTCAGTGTGTATCCCTATTACTGCTGTAGAATGGCAATTGGAACTGCTCAGTGGTATGTCATAGAGTCTGTAGTGCTAACAGTGAATGGTGATTCTCCTGTGGCTCAAGTAGACCCTGTGCTTTGAAAACAGGAGGATCTGAGTGCTCTCAGAAAAGAAAGAAGTCTCACAGGGGAGAGAAGAGCAGTTGAAGGAGGAGAATAAAGGAACGGGGGGAAGGAGTGGGGGGCAGATGGTAATGGAAGGAGGAGAGACCAGAGCCCTTTTGTGCCCATTTAATGCTACCTTTAATTGGCCCAGGCCTAAATATCATGGTGATAGGTGCCTTTGAAATGTTTGAGGAAGATGGACAGATGGATAGCTCCTGCTGCTGCCTTGATGATGTGAAAAAAACCATGGTGCGCAGTTCAGGTGACCCATGGCCTTCCAAGGAATTAAAGGACAATGGTATGAAAGATCTAGGAGCCAGCTTCTTTTTTAAAAGTCAACCTGCCATTCCCCTCCCCCCTGAATGTTTTATGTACGGTACAAAATCGTACGTAGCAGAAAATCCTTCCTTTCCGTCACCGTGTTTGATCTTTTGCTGAAACATAGGCCAGGGTGGGTTTTACAGCGAGAAGGACACTAGGCAGTAAATAAAGATACTTCAAGTGCAGCTCAGTAAGAAGCTTTTCTAAGTGTCTCTGCGTTTTATTATTTATTTGCACTATTAGAGCAATGGCGTGGCCATTCTCAGGTTTTGCGGGCGGACCATTAAGGTGACCTTGTGTCCTTGAAGAGCAGGAATGTCCCAGTCGTCAGGGCCTGTCCTGATGTCCCTGTTGTATTTTGTCCAGGTTTTCTAACTCTTTGCAGCCCAGCCACCTGCAGGAGCCCTTAGCCGACTGCTATGGTGACACTGACGACAGGCACGCTGAGGGCCTGTGAATTTCCCAGACCCACGCAGAGCGGCTGCATGTTGTCACTTGGCCCTCCCCACCCTCACACGCTTTCCCCACCAGCTTCTGCCCCCTCCACATGAGTCCCCGAGCCAGCCTGACACCTCACTCGGTGTGTGTGTGGGACGATGGAGGGCTGTTGCCCTAAAAAACAAACCCGTCCTGGGTGCACCCCCTGGGTCCTACCCACACCGCAGCTGTCCCTGTTTTCCCGTTGAAGAGCTGGTCACTCCTGCATAGATGCTGTTTGGACACGAAGAGAGTGTGTGAAATGGGGGGAGGTTATGGGATGGCCCTCAGTATGGCCAGCCCCAAATGTTCAAAAATCATGAGTAGGGCCCTACCAAATTCATGGTCCATTTTGGTCAATTTCACAGTCATAGGATTTTTAAAAATCATAAACGTCATGATTTCTGCTATTTAAATCTGAAATGTCATGGTGTTGTAATTACAGGGATCCTGATCCAAAATGGAGTTGTGGGGGGTGGGGGGGGGCAGAGAAGCAGCCCAGGGAGCAGATCCGTGCTGGGAGTAGAGCTACACCAGCCAGAGCCAGAGGGACCAGAGAGCTGTGCTGGGAGCAGAGCTGCAGCAACCAGATCCAGAGAAGCAGCCCAGGGAGCTGTGCTGGAGGTGGAGAAGCAGCAGTGCTGGGGCTGGAGCAGTCCGGAGCCAAGTGCAGTGAGCAGCTGGGAAGAGCAAGGTGGGACCCGGGGCAGCGGGCCCCATGCAGGGAGACACCCCCAGCTAAGAGGCCTTGCAGGCCAGACCTGGAGGGGATCATAACCCCGACCGGGGGATGATGCTGGGAAGAAGAGCTCTCCCACCTAGAGCCTGAAGGCATGTGGCCACCGCCAGAGCAAGTGTTCGACCCGCAGCATACCTGCAGCACAGCCAGGGCCTGGAAAGGAGGCCTGGCACATCTGATGAACAGACTGAACTTCCCTGACATTCCAGAAACGGCTGTTTGTGATGTCCCCATGCCACAGAGCGGGGTGATGTGTTTCCCTTTAACCTTTCCCAGTTTTTCCTTATTTTTTTTAAATTGGTTGCTGTTTAATAAATTGTATTTGCTTGAACTATGTGTAATGATCAGTGAGCCAGGGAAGCATCCAGAGCGGGGAGAGTATCCCGGAATGGGGATACCCTAGCTCCTGTCCTAAGTGACCACAACAAGATCAGGGGGTCAAGCCCCTCAGGAATCCTGGGCCCAACCTTGTCGGGGTTACGAGGACTCTGCCACACAGGAGACTGGAAGGGGAGTCCTCGAGGTCAGGTAGGCCTCTGGGTAAAGGAAGTGGGAGTGAGGACTCAGATCCTTTTGCTAGCCCAGTCCACCGGGGTAGTGTATAAGCCAGGAAAGTGCCTCACAATAGCGGGACCATTCCCCCTCCCCCTGATTACACCTGGATAGTGTGACCTCTCCCCCAACCCAGCAGGTGGAGGGGACCTGGTACACACTCCCGGGGGGGCAGGGTACTGGCCAGCCCAGGGTGTGTGATTCCCTCCCCCCCCCCCCCGCCCAGCCGGTGGAAGGGGCCCTAGCGCACAGGCAGAGGGGTGGGCAGGGGACCCCCCCAAGCCCAGCCGGTGGAAGGGGCCCTAGCGCACAGGCAGGG